CACGGGACGCCCCATTAGAGCGAGAGAGACAGGGCGACGAAGCGATTCTTCGGAATCAGGCTGCAGCGCCGACGACGCCAACGACTCAAAATAAGCGTTGCGGATTTTCCCTCCGAGGGCTGTTTCGCGTCTCTCTCTCTCTCTCTCTCTCTCTCTCTCTCTCTCTCTCTCTCTCTCTCTCTCTCTCTCTCTCTCTCTCTCTCCGCTCTCTCCCTCCCTCCCTCGCCTTAGCCAAGCCATAACAGTGCATGTTGTCGAAGCACGGTCCCACTTCACGGCCTTCTCGGCCTCGAGCGGCGCGGCGAACATTTTCTGCGATTGAGTCACCGCCTTTCCCTTCGGCCCCGATTCACGGGCGCGTTGAGTGGGGACGGAAACGTGGCCTTTTTCATGGCGGGGCGGGGCGGGGGGCGGGGCGCTTTGTCTGGCGACGCGCGCGTTGCGCGGGCTGCGTGGAGCAGGTACGCGACGCCGCTGCTTTGACGTACAAAAGGTGAGTTGCTGGCCCGCACCGGTTTGGCGGTAATGCGTCACATTGCTGGGCGTCGGTCTGCGCAGACTGGTTCCGCAGTCGTTTTCATCGCTCTGTCTCGCTCGCACTCGTGGGCCGTTCCGAGTTGGTCCGAGAGGGACAGAGCGACGAAAACGACTCTCCGAAACAGTCTACTGGCCATGCAAAAGCCACTCGTGAAAGGCGAATTAAAAATCTGGAACACCCTGGAGCAGCCAGCACAACAGCATGACAAAAATATGTGCTCTCTAGGTGGAACGAAAGGCATTGTTTCGCTTCGTGCTTTTCTCCTCTCTCTCTCTCTCTCTCTCTCTCTCTCTCCTCTCTCTCTCTCTCTCCTCTCTCTTCTCTCTCTCTCCTCTCTCTCTCTCTCTCTCATTTCCGTCGCGGGCCTGCGGGTAATATCTTTCAATTACGCGATGAAGTTTGGAGGGAAAGCGAAAGACGGTGAAGCCGCCGAGGCACGCAGCAGGCATTACCGGCCCACGGGGCGAGAGAGAGAGAGGAGAGAGAAGGACGAAATCTGTCGCTAAAATGTGACTGAGTAGAGATCAGACGCCATGCCCGAGCGGAGCGCTGCGCGGCGGGGTGGCTGTCCCCGCCGGAAGTAAGTGAATGTTCCTCCGGCCAGCAAAGCAAAGCCAGCACTCCTGCAGACTGATTCCGAGAGTCATTTTCGTCGCTCTGTCTCTCTCGCACTCGTGGGCCGCCCCCTACAGGTGTGGGAGAGACAGAGCGACGAAAACGACTCTCGGAATCAGTGTGCCGGCCGGCCGCGGCCCGACGGCGCCTCGGAGAATGAAACCGGCGACTGTCAAAGGAAAAACAAATTACGGCATGGAGGCGGGGGCGAGCGGCCGAGCGGCGGGCACCTCGCCTCGCGAAAGGAAGGCTGTCGACCACTTCTTTCCCCGAGGCCGTCCGCTTATCCGGCGTGGCGCGGGCCGCTGGGACTTGGACGAAGCGGGTAGTGTAGTACATCGAACGCGCAATCGCTAGCAAGACACATTGCGTTTGCGCCCCAGTCACGTCCACGACCAATCATACGTTACGACCCCCGCCTTCCCCTTTGTTCGGAGAGCATCCCTCTGCCATGCCCCCCACGGGCCGGCGCATGACGCACAGCCTTGATTCACAATGGCAGCGTAATCGGGAAGTCGTCGCCCACGTGGCCTGGCACGTGAGGTCCCCCAGGGCGGATCCAGAGTCGGGATCAAGAAGGTCCATGTCGTCGCAATAGTTGCCTACTTACTTACAGGATTGAAAAGTAACATATTTATTCACCTTCCAGGCGGATTTGCACATGTTTGCCAAAAAAGCGAGCGAAAATTCCCACCATGCTCCAGTTGTAACAGGATTGCCAACCTCAACCGGCCTACTAGCCACAGCTACTTCTCGAGAGCGGAGCCCAGATGTAGCCTGGTGGGCATGTTGGCAGCCCTGTCAAGACTGGTACGTCGTAGGAATTTTCGCTTACTTATTTGGCATCACCCTCCGCTCCACCTTCCTCCAGAGGACGGCCGTGCCCGTAGCGGGCCACCACCCCGTCAGCGCGGCTCTAAAGCTGCAAAGCTGGCAATGCCTTCATCGCCAAGTTGGCCGACATGATGGAGGCGAGGCGGTAACGGGGGCGATTACGGCGTGTGACGTGACGTGGGCCTGGGCCTCCAACGCCATGGGCCTCCGCCGCCTCGTCACGCCGTGTCCGAGGCCTTGACCGACACCGCCCCGCCCACGTGGCACTGCCGAGGCGTTAACATGTTCCTGACGTGGCCCAAAACGTGCCCCCTCCCCTCCCCCACCATCATCACTGTTATCATCATGACCGCACCATCATCATGACCACCATCATACCATTTTCATCACCGTCATCATCATGACCACCATCATACCATTTTCATCACCATCATTATCATGACCACCATCATACCATTTTCATCACCGTCATCGTCATGACTACCATCATACCATTTTCATCACCGTCATCATCATGACCACCATCATACCATTTTCATCACCGTCATCATCATGACTACCACTATCACCATACCGTCATGACCACCACCACCACCATAGCTAACACCACCATCATGACCATCACCATACCATTATTCACTACCATTATTATCACCTTCATTACCACGATTATTATCACCATCATCGGGGTCCGCACTGCTGCAGGAAAGTTGCGGGGTTCGAATACCGCCTCTCTCCGCCTTTTCGGTGCTTGGGGCGGTGCTGACCGGGTGCTTCGCGCGCTGGTCCGACGTCAGTGGACGGAAGACGCATGGCGACTGCCGGCCGGCCGGCGGGAAGCCGACCCCTGATATCCGGGGAAGGGTTATCCGGGTTACAGTGGGGCGGCTCGCCAAGGCCGACAAGGTGGCCGCGCTGAATGCAGATTCGGCGACCCCAGCGCGCCCACACGGCAAAATCAGTGCCTGGGGTTCCCAGGTCCAGCCCTGGAAAAAGGGGTCTGATTTCCAGGAGCCTCCTGGAAAACGGGTCTGTTGTCCAGGAGCCTCCTAGAAATCCCGGATTGTCCCCTTGCACATGACAGGACCCACTCCACCTCGGCTCGGATCGACGGTCCCAGTTCCTAGACCAGATAGCTCCAAAAAATTTATCCGTGCAACCAAATTTAAATTTATAAATTCTAATTTAAATTCATAGAAATTGTTTGAAAAATCGCTTGAGCACACGCTCCTGCAAAATCTTGCCACGGGCGCTAACCGCGCTTACCGATTGCACCGCCAGGGCCGAGGAAGCCATCATCAGTCTTTGGCGCGAGGCCCGGAATCTCCGCGCGTCCAAACTTGGGCGCCTTCCATTCCGTCCCTGTCCGCCTCTTTCTGTCACGGACCGCGATGCCTCCGCGGCGAATGCCAGAGCGAGGGAAACAGACGCGTGTCTGGCCTTGTTTGCGATTGTGTCAGGGTGTGTGTGCGCGCGCGTCTGTGTCTGTGAACGTGTGTTTGTGTGTGTCTGGGCGCGCCTTGCCACGTGTTTGGGTGCATCGTAGCGTGAGCGCCCCTTTTTCGGCCCTTGAAAATACGACCGGGGGCAAAAAAGAAGAAGGCTCCTTCGAGAGACAGCTGCGCCCGACGACACACGGATCTGCATTTTCCCAGTGGCCTTCTTCTTTGGTCTCGCCTCGCGGTCACCACCACCGCCTCGACAGACCGAGAGAGGAGGACCACACTCGCGCGGCAAAGATTTAGTGCGTCGTCAACTACTACTCCTGTCGCCCGCTTTTGGGTCAGCGGGTTTTTCGGTGTGTTGGTCAAGCGAGTGCGTCCGTTGGAGCGAATCGGGTGGCGGCGTCGCGGCTGTGGCGACGGCCTCCTCATCGCAAAGTCAAGTCGAGGAGGCGCATTTATCTTTTTTTTCTTCCTCTTCACTCGTCCTTTCTTCAACGACTTCACCGACAGTGTCTCCACCGCGCATCACACGGGGACCCTCTTTCTGCCGGTCGAGCCCAAAAGAGACGCGTGGGAACACGGAGATGCCAATTTCCCATGTCGACCCGCAGCGGGGTTACCACCAAGCGAACGACCGACACCCTGAGTGTGTGTGTGTGTGTGTGTGTGTGTGTGTGTGTGTGTGTGTGTGTGTGTGTGTGTGTGTGTGTGTGTGTGTGTGTGTCCGGGGGAATGGCGTCGCTGTGACAGGCACCCCTCCGTCGCCGTCCACCACGTCAAGCACCGCAGGACACAGATCAACCGCGGCCGGGGCCGGCCGGGACAGCTCGGATATTGCGGGCAGCGTCCTGGCCGCAGACCGATTCCGAGAGTCCTTTTCGTCGCGATGTCTCTCTCGCACTCATGGGGCGTGCCGTATGGGTGCGAGAGAGACAGAGCGACGAGAACGACTCCCGGTCCTGCTGTCCAGCCTGGAGAGCAGGCCGACAGACTCCAGCTGGACGAACCTGGACACGCCTGGAGAGACGGAGACGGAAAGACTGTTTACTCGGTGCAGAGCAACAGAGATTGGGGGGGGGAGGGTACAAGAAAACCGAGGCGGCTGAAGCAGCACCAGAGTGCTTGCACTCCTCACTCCGCGCCGTGGGACGCCTCGCGCCGCCCCGGCTCGGCTCGGCAAGCAGCGCCCACCGAGGTGGCTCGGCTCGGCTCGGCCGCTCCACTCGTCAGCCCAGGGGATGTGCATACGCCCCTTATCCCGACTGCGAATAATGGCCGGAGATCTGAGTTATTACATTACGGCGGGGTGGGGCGGGGCAAAGGGCGCGGCGCGTGTTCAGGGCGGTCCCCCCTCCCCCCGCCTCTACTCGTCGACCGTTTTGGTTCGGCTCGAACAGGTCTCTCCCGGTAACTTTACGCCTCAATTAATTTGAGCAAACTAGAGAGCGCGGTGCGCGCGAGGCGTGGCGTGGCGTGCCTGTGGCGCTTTGTTGTCACTTTGGTGCCTGCACTGCGAGCGCTGGCCCGGCCCAACGCGTTAGGGGCGAGGTAAATTGTTTCGAGCTCACCTTACCCGATGTTATTTCCCCCGGGAGCAGGGTGGCCCCACGTGTGACGAGGTCTTCGCGTCCTTCAGGCCCCCTTCTGGATGCTTCAGGATCTTTAGGGGCACTGTAGCCGTGTCAGACAGCACGCCTGGTACCAGCAGCCAGCTCAATACAACACTGAAAAAGAAAACGCCGCAGGTTAAGTATTGAACTCGCAACATCGGCATCTTTCAAAGACCGTGCGTCCGCCGACAACGTACTGCGCTGCGTCACTGGCAAAAAAGGTTCCCTGGTTTCCGCAGGTTGACCAAAGTAAAAACACAAGCGATTACCAGGGAGTTCCTGAAAAAAACAGGATTCGTTTTCGCCGCGTGTTTGTTTTTTTTTTTTTTTTTTTTTTTTTTTTGCTTTTTTTGTTTTGATCGCTGGGAACAAGCGTTCCTACAAACACGCAGGGACCTCGCCGTGTGTCAAATGGCGAACTCCAACGCACGGCGTGCTACCCAGACAGACAGACAGACACACAGACAGACAGGCAGACAGACAGACAGACAGACACACAGACAGACAGACAGACAGACAGACAGACAGACAGACAGACAGACAGACACACACACAGAGGTAAGAAAACCATTTTCCACGTGGAAGACTAATGGTGCGGAATCAGTGCCCCCGATGACCCAATGCCGCCCCGACGCGTCCCCCGCGACCCCACGCTGCCCCGGACCGAGGCCCGGCCGAACCCTTTGCAAGCTGCCTCCGAATGACGACGACACCTCTTCGCTCTGTCTCTCTCGCACCCCAACGGAACGGCCCATGAGTGCGAGAGAGAGAGAGAGGCCTGCAAGGACGTTCGGTTCAGCCTAATGAAAGCGTACGCCATTCATCGCAACGACGCCATGCCTCCGTTGGCTGGCCCGCCGAGTGAGGGGCGATAAGGACCCGGATGGGAGGGGGAAGGGGAGGGGGCTGTTTTCATCCCAATTCATCCGATCCGAGTGACCGGGTCGCCGGCGGCGTCCCCTTCCGAGGGGACAGTGAGACGAGGGTAGGGCGGTCGGGCCGGTCGGGCCGTCGGGGGAAGGTGCACCATTCATTCCAGCAGAGGTTCTCTGTGGCGGCAACGTCCATTGTGGCACACACGCTCGACGCTCACTCACTCGCACAAGCACGCCAACACAATCAAACTGAGCCGTGCGGGCACGCACACACGCATATGCGGCACTCTGGCAACTCGCTGCTTTTTGTGCGCACACCCCCGGGCGGGGCGGGGCGTGGCGTGGCGGGGTGAGGCGGGGCGTGGCGGGGCGGGGTGAGGCGGGGCGGGGCGTGGCGTGCCGTGGCGTCACGCAGATAGCGCGTAGCGAGCGCGAGCATGCCGCTAGGGAATACAGTTAGCGCTGCTACACCGCATCCCGGCGCTGCGCTGCGCTGCCCTCTGGAACTGTTCGCCGAGCTTTGGCCGAGCCAGCCCGGCCCAGCCCGCGCCCCGGGGCCTCGCCCTGGGTCGGGGCGCCATGGGTGGCGGCAGCTGTGCCGGGGGAATCCCGAAAACGCGCGGCTCGCAAAACTATATCCTTGCCTCTCGGAAATGAGATTGGCTGAGAAAAAAAATACTTTTTTTTTCCCGGCGGGTTCTTTTTTCTTCCCTCACGCGCAGCAGCAGGTTCTGGTGCTTCGAGTTGGCCGTGACGGGGATGAGGAGCTCCAGGTGGATCAAGCCGGGGGCCTGCAGACTCATTCCGAGAGTCGTTTTCGTCGCTCTGTCTCCCCCGCACTCATGGGGCGTCCCGTATGGGTGCGAGAGAGACAGAGCGACGAAAGCGACTCTCGGAATCATCCTGCAGCTTATCAGCTCGGCCGCGCTCCTCCGCCGGTGCTGCCCGCAGCGTGCAAGGTGTGGAAGGAAGGAGCTGTACCTGCGTTTGAAAAGTCGCTACCCTTCTCGCAAAGTTCAACCTCCCCTTCAAGAGCAATTCCCTTCAGGGAAAATTCTCTCTGAGGGAAATTTCCTCAGAGCTCCCTCATATGACCTGGAGGACGAGGAGGAGGAGGGCGCTGCATTAGAAAGTCGCTACCCATCTCGCTAACTTTCAGCTTCCCTTCGAGGGAAATTCCCTTCAAGGGAAACTCCCTTCATGCCCTGTAGGGCTCGGCCGGCCCTTTGTCCACGCCCTTGGTCGGTCTCTTCGTCGGTCCAACGGACCCAGCCAGTGGCCCTGCGGTCCTCAAGTCGGAATGTGCGGCACGGCACGGCATGGCACGGCACGGCCCCATACAGCCCAATGGGCCCGATGCCCGTGGCTGAATTCCACTTGGAAGAACCGCACACCGCGCCAGTCGCGCCGCCACTTGAGCCCGAATGAAATCCAATTCCCGCCAATCAAGAAGCCTTCAACGAGTCGGTTTGGCCCCCGCGCTGCCTGAGCGGCCTTCGATGCACAACGATAGAAGGCGGAACTTCGATTACTCGATATTGTTTTTGGTGTTTCGAGAAATCGATCGACGCGAGGCGGGCTTCGATGCACAGTGGGCCAGAAGACCGGTGGAGCGGTCAAAATTCGAGACGCGTTTTGAGCTCCAGAGTCGCTAAATGGGACTCGAACCGACCGTGTGACCCCACCTATGGACTCCTCGTTCGGAGAGCAACCCATTGGTGGGGTCACTCGTTCGGTTCGAGTCCCATTTAGCGACTCTGGAGCTCAAAACGCGTCTCGAATTTTGGCCGCTCCGCCGGTCTTCTGGCCCACTGTGCGATGTGCTCCGCACCTGGCGCATCGCATCACGCTCAAACACGCTGTTGCGGTTGTTCCTGGGAACTGCAGTGCTGTCGAGCGATTCCGCTATGCCCGCTCTTCTCGCTCTGTCTCTCTCGCACTCATGCGGTGCGCCATAGGGGTGCGAGAGAGACAGAGCGAGGAGTGCACGCATCGAAATCGCTCGACTGGCCGACTGGCCTAGTGGCGGCAGGCCTTTACAGTGGTGCAGGGCCATCTGCGGGAAGCGGCAAAGCGGCCAGGCCGGGGCAGTTCCAGTAAGGCGGCGGAGTCGGCCGAGGCCGCGCCTGAAAAGCCAGTGTCCGAGCAAACGGTCGCCTGCCATTAACGTGTACACTGTACAGTCGCGCGAAGCGCCCCGCGGCGCGGCGTGGCGCCAGCAGACTGATTCCGAGAGTCGCTTTCGTCGCTCTGGCTCTCTCGCACCGAAACAGGCCGTCCGTGAGTGCGAGAGAGACAGAGCGACGAAAACGACTCTCGGCATCAGTCTGCAGGCTGTTCGGCCGGGCGTCCTGGCGTCCTAGGGGGTGGCTGGCTGAGGCAGGGCTGCGGTCTGCCGCGACGCCGCGCCCCGCCCGCAGGGTCCGTGGGCTGCAGCGGCCTTGCATATTTCCCCAGCGGCCGTTCAACTGCACTGGAAAAAAGGGTTCTTTTTACCACATTGATGGACTGCTCTCAACTCCTCCCAGAGCATCTCCTCACGTGATACAAAGGCTCTCGGATTCAGAACTCTTATTTTCTTTCAGTGTGCTCGCCAGTCCGACCAGCGATGGCTTCCTTTGTTACACTCGTGGAACTCCCCCAGAGCGGGTTAAGGAGCTGGTGGTCCGTACTCAGCGGGCAAAGTACGTCGTCGGCCTCGGCGGCCTTGGTGGCCATGGCGGCCGCAGTTCCCAGCCGCAGCCAATCCCACGTTGTTCACACTGTGCGGTCGCGCCACCGCCACCGCGTCTCACGCCGCCAACCGCCTCTCTCTCTCTCGTTCCGACAGAGAGAGAAAACCGGGGAAAACAAGTGTGCAGAATCGCCGCTTCCTTCTGCGGACGGCTAATTCGAAACTAGTGGCGCGTCGCTTTTTTTTCACGGCGATTCTACACCGCCGCCTCCCCCTCGATGGCCATGGCCAGGCTAATGCCTTCTCAATATTGCATTGCCGCAATGGGCGGCTCGGAAGACATGCGTCTGGCTTACTCGAGGAGAGGGGGAGGAGGGGCAGGGAGGGGAGGGGAGGGAAAGGAAGGAGAAAGGAAGGGAAGGGAAGAAAGGAAGGGGAGGGAAGAAAGGAAGGGGAGGGAGGAGGGAGAGAGAAAAGGAAGGATAGGGGGAGCGGAAGCGCGTCTTCTCGGGGGTACGAAGAGCAGGAAGCCCAGAGAGAGTGGCGCTGCTGGGTGCCCTCATACAGTGCCCAGTTGTGTGTTGTGAGATAAAGCGGACCCGGGGTGTAATGGGACGAGTGGGGCGAAGTGCCGCCGGGCAGCCAAGCCAAGTTGCAGCCAGGATGCACTCAGGATGCAGCCAGGATGCACACTGAAAACCTAAGTGTGTACTCAGAACACACTTACGGTTTCATGCAGCAGTGCACCTAGAATGCAGTTATGATCCAGCCAGGACGTTGCCTGCATGCAGACAGGGTCGAGACAAGGTCCAGCCAGGATGCAATTCAGGCAGGACGCTGCCAGGGTCAAGCCAAAATGGAAATGCAAAAGACGAAAAGCCCATCAAAATTGCTTTTAAATTTCGAGTCACTTTTTGCAGTGGCTAGGACCGAGAGAAGAAGCCCAACGCGCGCTCTTCTTTGCGAAGGCACGGGTCGTTTCCGCTGCACCAGCAGCACCGGACTGCGCGCAGCGCTTCGTCGCTCTGTCTCTCTCGCACTCGCAGGGCGGCCCGCAGGGGTGCGAGAGAGACAGAGCGGCGACAGCGCGGTGTTGCTGCGCAGCACTCCGGCCGGGATTTACGTGCAGCGCCCTGCAGCAGCAAGCGCACTCCGTCAGACACACGCGACTACTAACTTCACTCTCCGCTTTTTATTCGTTCGGCCCCGCGCATCTCCGGCCCGACAAAATAAGAAGGTCTGTCGATCGCCTTTTGGGAACAGCCCCGGGGGAGGGATGGCTCCGGGGGACACGTCGCTCGCCTATATCTCACTCAGCCCCTTCCTTCCCCGGGGCCTCCTTGGCAACGCTGTGCCGTGGCGTGGCGAAGCCTTGGCAGTGCCGTGGCAGGGCGGTGCCGCGCCCGTATCGGGCGGAAGCTCAAGTCACATTAAAACGCAGTTCCGCTCCGTTATTCCGTTCCGCGCCACTGGCAGGCCAGTGCCAGCAGACTGAGTCCGAGAGGGGCGCATCTCACTCTCTCACCTTCTCTCAGCCTCTCTCAACTTATCTCAGCCTCCCTGTC